GCTCGAGGGCCTCGGCGCGGACCTCGCGGCGATCCGGGCGGCCGCGCGGCCGCCGCCGCCGGAGAAGACCGCGCCCGCGCCGCCGGCGTCGGCGCGGTCGCCGGGCGAGGACGCGTGGGCCGCGCTCATCGAGACCGGCGCGGCGCCGGACGCGCCCGCGCCCGCGCCGGAGCCCGACCACCACCGCGTCCACGCGAAGCACACGGGCCACGCGACGGGCCTGCACCGCCGGCGTTAATTAAGACGCTCAGTACTAAGAGCAGGATCCGCGCAGAGCGAGTGCCCCCGAGCCGCTCTGGAGTCGGGCCTCGATCGACGCGTCTTCTAAGGTAGTTACCCGCGCGCGACGAGCCTAGAGCTCGGACCGCACGAGGTCGTCGATGGTCTTCCGTCGCTCCTGGACCTCCGCCGCGACCGTCGCCTCGATGACCTTCCGCCGCGCGGAGGACACGATGTTCGCCGCGCAGTCTTTGACCACGGGCTTCTCCGCGGGCTCCTCGACGAGCTCCGCGCAGAAGGCGACGGCGGCGTCGCCGATGGGCCGCGCCCCGTCGTGGGAGAACGTCGCCGTGTTTCCCGCCTCGTCGAGCTTGATCTCGAGGTCGAGCGGCGGCAGCTGCGCGTCCGCGGGGAGCGCGCGGCGCACGCGCTCGACGAGCGCGCGGCTCGACAGCTCCATGACGCAGTCGACGAGCTGCTCCGTCTGCGCGGCGTCCGTGCCGATGACGTCGCCGCAGAAGATGAGCGCCGCGCCCTCGGGCTGCTGGCCGGCGGGCACTACGAAGTCCTTCTGCGTCTGCTCGTCGACGTTGATCGCGAGGACGACCTCGACCTCGGCCTCCTCGCACACGGAATGCAGCAGGGCCGCGGCGAGGAGCACGAGGCGCAGGCACGCGCGCGCCATCCTCACGCGTCTCGCGACGACTGACTGCTACACACGCGACTCGTACTGAGCGCACTGCAATCGCGAGGGCGACGTTCAACATTGCGGCACCGTCGCCCAAGAAAGCAGCCCGGAGAGGCCCGATGGAGTAGAATGGAGTACAAGTAGCCTGGACCGATGGCGTCCAGCGCCTTCCTGCGCCTCGAGTGGACCGACGCGGGCACGCGGGAGGCGATCGCCTTCGCGATCCACGAGCAGCCGCAGCTACGGACGATCGCGTGGTACGTCGACGCGTGGAGGGGCGAGGGCGTCGCCGTGCCGCCGGACGCCGTCGCCTACGTGAGCGCGCGCGGCGGTGCGCCCGTGCCGGCGCCGCGGTCGCGCCTCGTGCAGGAGGACTGCGGGATTCGCTTCGAACTCCCGGAATCGGACATCGCCGTGATCCTCGAGTACACTCAGAGCGACGGGCGGCGGCGACACCACAACTTCGCGCTGGCAAAGCCGCAGACGATCCAGTGGGTCGTCGACGACTGGAAGAAAAACCTGGGCGTCGCCGTGCCACCCGAGGCCGTCGCCTACGTGAGCGAGCGCGGCGCGACCTGCGCGCCGGTCCCGCGGTCGCGCCTTGTGTGCAAGGACTGCGAGATCGTCTTCAAAGAAGCAGATACCGCCGGCGCGGAGCTCGTCGTCGTCGTCACGGACGAGTCGGCGGGCATCGCCGCGTCGCCGCCGGGCTTCGCGTCCCTCACGGCGCGGGGCGTCGAGCTCGGCGGGCGGCGCTGGGCCGGGAGCGTCCGCGAGCTCGGCGCGCTCATCTGCGCGTTCCCCTTCGAGCCGAAGGACGCGCACACCGCGCGCGTCTACGTCGCCTGCGAACCGTGCAGCCTCGACCGCGACGCCGTGGTGGCCGCCTTCGACGCTGCGCGGAAGATCGACGGCGTCTACGAGCGCGTCCGGCCGACGATCCCCGTCGCCGAGGCCGCGGCGTTCGCGCGGCGGATGCGGCGGACGCACCTCGTGCACCTCGAGCTCCAGGGCGGGCGCCTCGCCGCGGACCAGGACGAGGACTGCAGCCTGCGGCTCGAGGTCCAGGTGCGGGGTATGCCCGGGAACCTCGTCGTGCAGGACGTCATCTCGCGCCTCGACGTCGACAACGTGCTCCGGCGAATGACCATCTCGGAGTTCGTCGCCATGTACGTCAGCAAGAACGAGACGCGCGTCACGCGCCTGGTCGTGGCCGCGACGCCGCTGCGCAAGTCCTTCGCGCGGCGGCTCATCGACCTCGTGACGGACACGGCGACGACCGCGGAGGGCATCGTCGACGCCGCGCCCGCGGAGTGGGACGTGGCTTCGGACGTGCTCTGCCCCGGGCCGCTGCGCCTCGGCCAGCGCGGGCCGCGCATGATCCGCCTCAAGGTGATCTGCGAGGACGCCGCCGTCGGCGACGGCCGCTTCCCGCCGCTGCTGAGGGGGCCCGACGGGGAGCACGACGGCTTCGAGAGCCTCGGCGACGAGCCGCCCATCGTCGTCTTCGTCACCGACGAGAAGACGGGCGACGTGCTCCTCGCGCGGAGCATCGCGGGGACCGAGGCCTGTCTCTGGTTCACGCTCCACGACGTCTGGACGCGGGTCCGGGGCGAGCTCCTGCTGGACAACCCCTACATGGAGTCGTCCAAAGGCGCCGTCCCGACGGCCTTCTACTCGACGAACGAGCGGATCTGCGCCCTCGACTGGAAGGCCCTGGAACGCACCGCCGGCACCGACCTCCTCGGCGCACCGCTGGTCCCGCATCGCGGCGGACGATCGGTCCTCGAGCGCGTCGACGAACCCGACGACGTCAAGCTCGGCGACCTC